ACTGGAGAGACAGAAGAGACACATCACACTATGGATGTGAGTTTAAGGGTTCACCTCATAAACCAAGAGTTCAATTCATTGGACAGATCCAACGGAGACTATGCAGGCAGAATTCTAAATAATGCCTGTAACAGAATAAGAATTGTATCCACGAATAACTGACAGTCAAAATATCCATTACATTCCATATCCACTTATAATAGTGACAAAAAAACCTTCCATCACAAAGTTTTAAGCTTTCAAGGGCTTAGTCAAAGACATGGCTTAGCAATCCAAACTAAGTTGACCAAGCCAAATTACTGAAACACAAACAGAGAAATACCTCAAATATTGGACAGAAGCAACACCACAACAGAGTGCATTGGAAAGCTATTTATCCCTAAACAAAGAGTGCAAACTGGCGGAATATTTGAGCAGAGTGACTAGGAAAAGTATCCAAAGATACATGCAGACAGGGACAGGGACAGGCATGAAAGATGACAGACTGTGTCCCCACTGCACACAAATTAAGTGGAAACAGAAGCGCACATTTTGACCTCATGTTTGAACTACACAGACCAGGGACACTTCGTTTCACAGCCCACCCCAAAGACTTCTGAAAGCACACAAGGACAAACTCTCAGGCCTGCAAGGTGAAACTCTAGAAAGCTAAATGCTATCTGCAAGCTATGAGAAGCCCTGACATCACAAAAAGGCAGGAACCAGCAGGAAATACCAACCATAAAATGACATCCGGTATAAAATGTCTTGTTTGTTAAAAGTCAAGCATACACCACTCTGTATAGCCAAATCATTTGCGAAAATAAGTTTGGAACACCACTCTGTCAATCAAATTCAGGGGCCAGAAGTAACTGTCATAAATAAATATTAATAATGAGTAATAGATGGGGACCCTTCTGCTGCAAAACAGAATTCTGTACAAAATACTGCCATACATAATGTTAGCAATATTTTGTCAATATAAGCTTCTTTTTACCATTCCAGTAAAACTACTTGAATCTTATTCTGATAGTGAGAGAGAAAAAGAATCCTGCTGCTGCTTGACATTTATGTCACTGCTTCTGTGGCTTTATCAGATGAGCCCAACACGACTGCACAAACAGAACACATGTATTTTATCACATATCGTGCTGCTAAAAAGAGGGTTTGTCAAACATCA